TGAGAGCAACAATATATCAATCAAGACAAAGACAGCAAAATAAAAGAGAAAACAATCACGACTCAAGTTGTGAATGATAAATAAAATATTCTTAATTACTAGAACCTTTCAGAGCCCATAGGTGCTTTACAAGGTCGTCTCGGAGTTGAAAGTGAGCTTCAGAGTCTCTTAATTTGACTGAGTTGGCAATGAAATCAGAGAAATTTGCAGACTCATTTCGGCTGGGCTGAACTAAAGTTGGATTCCCATCGTATATGAATTCTTCATCCATTCCACGTTCATCGTCTATGATCATGTTGTGCAATATGACACATGTTGTCATTATCTTCTGCATGTTTCCATGACTCCACCCTCTTGCTGGTCGAGATACAATCGCAAATCGAGCCTGGAGGACGCCAAATGCCCTCTCAACATCCTTTCGACACGCTTCTTGAACCTTAGCAAAGTGCTTTTTCATAACAAACAACGTAGATGTCAGTACATGAGAAAAGTTATGATAGCTTGATTGTCTCACCTTCTTTTCAAGCCCTTGTGGGGCTGAGATCGTCTTGATAAGGGTTGACCAATCAGGGTATATCCCATCAGCCAAGTAGTATCCTTGATTGTATTTGTTACCGTTGATAGTATATTCGATTCGAGGGGATTGACCGTTGAGTAGATTCTTGAAGAGAGGAGATCGATCGATGACATTAATGTCGTTATGTGAACCTGGAAGGCCGAAGAAAGAGTGCCAGATCCATAGATCATGGGAGGCCACTGCTTTGAGGATAATTGTTGCAACCTGAATGAAATCAGATCACCTCATCAATAAATGATTCACAGACCCATAATTGTATTTGATGAGAAAAGGAATCACCTTTTCTTTGCCTTGATATTGCCCCTTCCATGCTGCCGGGCAATTCTTCCAATGCCAGTGCATACAATCGATCAATCCAAGCATTCCAGGAAAGCCTCGTTGTGCATTCACAGTGGTCAATCGTTTGATATCTTCTTCAGTAGGATGTCGTAGGAACTCTTCACTGTATATATCAATAATTGCACTGCAAAACTTGTTCAATGACTCCAACGATGTACTTTCGGCGATCCGGATGTATTCGTCATTCATGTCTGCAGCACCCCCATAGGCTAGCATTCTGAGAGCGGAGGTTATTTTCTGAACTGGGTGCAGACCGGGACGACCCAACGCATCCGGTTTCTTTTGGAAATATCGATCGTGTGCAGTCACTTGGTCCACAATTTTCATGAATAGTGGGCAATGCATTCGCAAGCGTCTTCGGAAGAGGTAATCAATGTAGACCGGCTCAGGCGCAAGGTAATCCTTGTAGAGTCGTTGGTATCCTTCTTCAAAAACTCGAGGTAAGTTTGGAAGATGTCCAGGTCTTGATCCGCCACGCTTTGGTGGTTCCTGGTTTGCATTATCTTCATCGTCCACAATGATATTGACTGTATCAGCTAGAATGGTTTGGATTCGTCGGTTCGTTGCCAGTGCCGCTGATTGAGCATCAATCATACTTTGGATCAATCGAAGGTCCATCGTGTTTTCGATATGGGTAGCCGAGTGGTGAGGTGATGGTCGTAGATATGTTTGAGAGATCGGGGAGATGGAAGGAAACTGGAGGGGATATCGGGGACTGAAGAATCACAGATTCAAGTTTGATCATGTAGCAACCACGGGTGGGCAGAAATTCTGCGCGGGTTGCTACATGTAAAATCTGAGTTGCCATCGCGGGGATGTAGCAACCCAATTTTACCTCCCCCGGTGGATATGCTCTAAAGGGCTTATTTCGTGACTGGGGGAGTTTTGGGAGCAGATGGTGGGTGATCATTGCAAAATGGAGCTGAGTGCTCTAATCTTGGGCCAGCCAAAGTCTCAACTTCTCTCAACCCTTCCCCGTCCTTTGGAAGCTGCCATACGTTGGAGCTAACTGAAAATTTTTCCCAAGCATGACTGAAAGGATCATCTGGAGCTTGAGGTTTAAGCAAATCCAAGGAGACATAACGAGAGCTGAGAATGAAGCAGAGCAGTTGCATTACAAACTGGTATGATGTGGAGCCTTGCATGATAGATTATTTTGAGTAATAACTTCAAAACACTCTTTGAACTTGTACAGTGAATTTTAAGAATTTACTGGGACAAAGCAAAATAAGGTGATATGATTTATTTTGCACGAAAGCTCATAAAAACTGGCCATGTAGTGACGTGATCCGGGGACATAAGGGACCTCTCACGTTCCACTTGCAAACCGGAAAGCACTTCCTCCAAACATGTTATACTAAAATATTGGGAGGAATCCAACCCTCAGCGAGGACATAGTATCCAGCAGCTTTGCTGAAGGAGAGTTTTTCGGCCGGCACTTGGGAACTTAATTTTGACGACCAATGTCGCGGTGACTCATATTGGACACCTGAAACTTGTATTTCTAATCGGTTTAGACAGGAGCTGCGAGCTCGACTATTCACTCCTTCGTCACGTGTTGTAAGCTAAATATGTAGCCTGTCTATCAGTGAATCTGATCACCTGAAAAAAAACGTCGATCTGCCCACATCCCTTGGAGATGGTTTGAAATATCTTTGAAACAAAAAGGAATTCAAGATTGGTTGATGAAGGGTTTCTTTCTTTTTTTCAAAAACTACTTGCAATACTCTCAAAACTTGTTTTGAATGGGAAGTTCACAGTGCAGAATCTCCATCCTGCCAATGATTGGTTCTGGATGTTTGAGAGCGAGCAAGCAGCCGACTGGTGTGACCGTTGAAGTTGTCGCAATGAGGGTTCGATATATTGAAATTGTTTTGGCCAATAGTCCAAGCTGGCAGCAGAGGCATTCTTGGTACAATGTTGGATCAACGGGGGACCAAATCGATAGAAGCCTGCAATTTTGAAGAATTCAAAATAACATGCAAGAAATTTTTGTGAGTATTCAGATCATACGTTTCCGGAAATAATCCGCTAGGCTCAGATGTATCTTGGTAGGGTTGAAATAGTAGGGTAAGGAGGAATGAGATAAACTGCAGTTTAAACTTGATTGGTATCTCATTATTGAGGTCTTCAAGATATATTTTATACCCAAACGCAGATCTACTATATTTTTCTGGCGCCTTTCACTGCTCAGAGTTGAATTGGGACCTCATGCACCCTTGATAAAGTTCCAAAATAATAAGCGAGGGATGCATTGAGTGGAAGTCTTCCCGTCGAATTTACAGCCCCCTGTAAAGCTATTTTTACAAGCTCGTGAAACCGTTTTCCCAGCGAAAAATTAGCTTTACAGCCTGTAAATCTAGCTTTACAAGGCCTGTAAAACCCACGGGAAGTCCTCGTAAAAAGGTAAAATTATACGTTAGTAGTGAAAATCAAAGAAGAATAAAAATGACCTGGGGATCGGGGTGGAAGTAAAACTGGACCTGGTGGACTTGACAATCCTGATGGGACCTGTTATTGAGTTAAGCTAGAACAGCCCTGGTTGAGAGAGAGAATATTGTCAGCTGGTGATTGCAATGTCCCGGATTGATGAACAAAAAACCGTGCTGCAAACAAGCTGATACTCCGAGCTAGGCCTAGGGGAAATACCACAATCACGCTTTTCCCCAAGACCGTTAACTCATTGGTGAATCCTGAGTGATGACGCAAGAGTTGTCATCCAAATGGATGGCGTGTTGATTGAGACAGTCAGCTTCCTTCTTTGCCGCAATGTGAGTGATGTTGTAAGGAAGTATGTTCCCATCTATGATCTAGACAGCTTCCAACGAAATATGAAAGAAGCTGGCAAAATCTTGTACACCTAAGGGGAGGAGAGCATCCAAAAAACTCACCAGCTCCGAAGAAACGTATGTTGCCTTGCTTCGCATGCATCGCATTCATAACGTTATGATCTACACGCAGCAGCTCCATAGGAATGAGTCATGATATGGATTAGTTGATGATTTCTCTCTCTTCTTTGCATGTACCAGTTGATGGGTGTTATACGATTAGCCTATCCTCGTCTGAATAACCCAGTCTATTCTACACCTGGTAGATTCAAATCTGAATGAATAGAGACACAGACGAAGCGGAAAGACTCGTGTTTGCTGAGTCTCTTGTTTATCCGTACCTAAACAACTACATAGACACGAACAGATGAGGATGAGACTGGTCTCATGTGGGGTGTGCGTGCACTCCAAAGTCGTGACGCGTCAGGTCGCGTGTGTAAACTGGAGAAGTGCGTATTTTCGGCCAGGCAAGCATGGACTCTCATCCTTCTACTTCCACCTCGGATGGTCTTCAGCCTTCGAGCCTTTCCGAGATATGTCTCAGCCTAGTATTCCGCCAGCTCATCTCAATCCTCACTGAAATTCAAGACTCGGAACAAAATACTTACGCCGGAAGACAGAAACAACTTTTCAAGCTGTTAGATTTCTTCAAGAAGCCTCAATCTCGGTCCGATTCCTGCCCCATTCCATCTGTAGCACCCCATCTGGTGAAAAAGTTAATCAAGCTATACATCGAGCACGTCTCTCTCGATACGCTGGACTATGGCCCAAACGAATTGCCTTTGGTCTTCTATCTTTCGATATGTTCGATCTACTCCGACCTCGACACCTTCGGCTTCAAGACGCGTGAATCCCACCTCGACAGGGAGCCCTGCTATCACCAACTCCGTCTGGACAAGCCTATCGAACTCGAATTGGTTCAGAAGCATCTCCAGGCCTCTCAGTGTATCACGATACTCGACCTGACGGGAGACAGAAAATTTACCGATTCTGGGCTGCTTCATCTCCACCATCTCATTGGTAGTTCAGTCAGATCGATCATACTCGACCATACCTCTGTTACCGACCTAGGAATTGCCCATCTTTCTCGCTCGCTTGGGACGGCTGAAGATTCATCAGGCCAGACCAGTGAACTTTCCTCTCCCGAGGCGTTTAGAGAGTTAAGGTCAATTAGTTGCAGGGGCTTGTATGATATAACCGATCGCTCTGCCAAGAAATTCAGTCGGTTTCCAAACCTTTTATCCATTGGTCAGTCTGACGAATTTCGAAATTCACTTCCCTAGTTTTTATTTTGTCGGACTAATCTATCGTCTCTGGCGTTGTCCCACTAGACCTGACCGGTACATCGTGTACAGATGCGACGCGGCTTATCTTGAATAGGTCCCAGACTGCACATCACAAGCAGTTTCACTTCCGGCCTGCGCAAACTGAAAAAGAACTCGAGTCATTCTCTCGTAGTTTAGAGCCATCTGAAAAATTGAAAAAACTATTGAACCAGGATAAGGAATCAATACGATCTGATAGCTCATTCTTTTTTCAAATCAATCGAAGCGATCGAGCTTATTCCAAGAATTATGGGGCCACCTTAGAGTCATCAGCTTTTTCCAAGCGCTTTCGACCTTTTTGTCTCCTCAGAAGTGTTTCCGCTGCCCCTTCCTCCTCCTCTACTACACCTGCAGACGTTCGCAATCCATCCACATCAAATTCAAGCAATCCTCAAGTTCAGATCTCCAAGCAATCATCTTCTCTCCCCTTGATCAAACGAAAGAAACTCAACCCTTCCATCCTTGATGACTTGCTTGAGGTCAAAAAGTCTTTCAAAAAGTAGAACACCTGAACAAAAAAAAGGTTCCTTATTACATATCGACAAATCGCGATAGTTCAACAAATGATGTAGGCCATATTGTTTCACCGCCAGAAAAACTGTCACCCATACTGTAAATTATTCTTCAATTACCACCTTATTTCAAGATGACTTTTGCAGTTTGAGTAACAAAACTAGCTCTCCCAGAGTCTGGTAGCAGTTGTGCTAGTTCTTTTGTAGTGTCTGGCATGTGATCATTGTGTAAAAATGGTCATAAGTAGTTGAGAAGAGTGATATGTTCTCTGTTGGGCAGTCCAATATATTAGTATAAGATTCATTGGAAAATCCAGCAGATTACTTTGGGACTGAATTTATGACACTAACTGAAATTCATGCTTGGCTGGTCACGCTATAACATGAATCCTCCCCAACAACTACTGCCAAAAAACCAAGGAGCTTCTAGCTGTGTAGTAATTGGGTGTGAAGCCCCCCACGTACTATGGGGTTCATAATGTGAAATGTCACAGATTATGTAATCTGATGTTTCCTTTATATTCTTGTCAACTGTCCTTTCCTGGATCAGTAGAGATTACTGATTCTCCACTCTCTGAGCAAGGTGAGCTTTCCCTTTTTGTTATCTCCTCTTGTCTTTTTCTGATCATCTTTCCTCCTTAGTTGTAGTAGAGATCACTGATTCTTCACTCTCTGAGCTAGTCTTGAATAAAAGCAAAGCCCTCTTTGGTTCTATAATTCTCTCCAAGATGCCAGTCTTGCAAGTACAGATAGTGAAGTGCTCCTGGCTCTCACATTGGGTTGATAGTTTATGAACCATATTCTTGTTATCCAGATTTATGTATGTTCATATTCTTTCACGTTACCTGCTGACTTCTGCAGGTCACTTCTCAGCCACAATTCAACTCATCCCTCTCCAATAACAATCACAACCCCATCCATACTTGAGCATACCTCCATACACCCTTGAATACAATGGATAAAGTGATTTATGCTTTGACACAAACCCAAACCTAAACACCCGAAGCTCCAAAGAAGAAAAAAGAGTCCAAAAAGAAAGCAAAAAAAGAATCAATCGGCTCTCACTTTGTTAAATTGTTATTGTCATCCATCCATTGGAGAATTTCTTGTAAGTTTTTGGACATTGAGGATTGGATCAGTTGATATGAGATGATGTCAAGTGTGGCAGAGGAGAGTTGCTAGTAGCAGGTAGCTCATGAAGTGCCAGCCCACAATTGAAGCTGAGCCAGTGAGCCCCACCCCAACCCCGGTGAAATGTGTTTGCGGGCTGGAGAACACATGTCAAATGCCCCTAGACTGTTAGAGATGCTCTTATATGTTACTGATTATATGATTTGTAGGTTTTCAGGGCTTTTGCAATCAATTCAAAAAAAAACTTGTTCCAGGAAGTGCAGTGGGTATCTGGAAGCTTTGATGGAGCTTGTGGTTTTACCAAAATTTTATTTACAATATTATTTGAATCTGACTTGAATGCAAAGTGCCAATGAAATGCTACCAAAGTTTAGTTATAAGAGTGCAGGCAATAGATTTTTCAAATCTTGTGTTTCTAATACTGGGATTCTGGTAGGTCAATGTTGTGGTCTCATACCAGAATTTGAATGTCAATGAGAAGTAAAATGGGATGAATAGCACAAGGAATAACCTGAACTAAGAAGTTTCCATGGACCTTATTTCCCCAACCTTAAATAATAGTAAGAAAAGAATAAACTCACATCAGTCCCTTAACTCTGAAGGGATATTCACTCAAATGGAATTTGGATTGGGACACCTGATTTGAAGAAAGGTGGCACAATCATGTGGAGATCATTGTGCTGCTTGAGTCACACATACATAGGGGACACCAAAGAAAAAACTGACTGGTGCTTCTCTGTTTCATTCTCAACTCCCATGGACTGCTATTGAGCCTTGTTCCCAGTGTTGGTGTATTTCACGAGCACCAGTCTACCACTGAGCCTGAGTGACTTTCCATGTGGTGTCACAGTGGTTTTGGGTGTGGTAACCACGTGACAGCCGAGTGAAAGCCCCCCTGGAGTGCTCGATCGCCAAGCCCCCCGGGAGTTCCAGCCAGTTGAGTCAGGCCAATCCCCAACTTCCCTCCAAAACCCAGACAACTTCGTAAAAGCGCATACCACCATATCCCAACCGAACCAATCGAAGATATAGATAAACATTAGCCATGTCTCACTCAAGGAGCCCTTCCGCAGAACGTCAGACCAAGCGCAAGAGGCACGTCCTCAATCCCAGTGTTTTTTTTTTCTTTTCTTGCTGACCTTCCTTTCTCAAGAAGAACTCACATACTAATATCACATGCTGCCCAACAGGTCCATCAGTCCAACCAATGAAAACGACCCACCTCTTCACCGAAAACGTCGCTCGACATCTCCGGTCGAACGAGCTTCCGGCCAGGACAAACCCGAGTCATTCGAACGATTACAGGTCGATGTCCCTAGAATATACGATAATGATCCCGCTCGTCGCCGAGAAAGAGAGGAACAACTCCGGATTCGGTTGGCTGAACAAGAACTCGCTGGGATCGTCAAACCCAAACCTGACCCAAAACTTGAGATGCAAAAAATGGCTGCCACTAGAGGCGGTGGTGCCTATATCCCACCAGCACGCCGTTAGTACTTTTTTTTTTAAACAAAAACCCCGTCGTCTTGATATTTTGTTTATATATACTCATTCCTTCCTTATCTCTCTCAGTCAGGGCTATGCAAGCTCAGATGGAGGTCCAGGATCCTTCAAGTCCAGAATACCAGAGAATCCGTTGGGATGCTTTAAGGAAATCTATCAACGGTTTGATCAACAAAGTGAATGTTGGTAACATCAAATTCATAGTACCCGAGGTAAGTGATTCTCCTGATATTATTTGTGCTAGGACTATGAGCGCTGATATCACAATCTGAAATGAAAATCCAGCTCTTTGGTGAGAATCTAATTAGAGGACGCGGACTATTTGCACGATCGATAATGCGTGCCCAGGCTTCCTCGCTCCCGTTTACGCCAGTCTTTGCTGCATTGGTATCGATCATCAACACCAAACTACCCACAGTAGGAGAACTGATTGTGACCCGAATAGTCAGTCAATTCCGACGAGCCTACCGTCGAAACGACAAGGTGACCTGTGTGGCGACCTCGACGTTCATTGCCCAACTTGTCAATCAACAAGTTGCTCATCATCTTCTCGCCTTCGAGATCATCATCCTCCTGCTCGAAAAACCCACGGATGATTCGGTTGAGATCGCGGTCGGATTCACCAAAGAGGTCGGCGCCTTCTTATCTGAGGCTGAACCGAAGGCCAACAACAGCGTCTATGAACGTTTCCGATCGATCCTACACGAGGCTACTATTAGCAAAAGAGTCCAATATATGATCGAAGTCCTCTTCCAGGTCAGAAAAGATCGATTCAAAGACAATCTCGTCCTTCCTGAAGGCTTAGATCTCGTCGAAGAGGATGACATCATCACCCATCCCATCCATCTGGATGATGACTTGCAAGTCCAAGATACACTGAGTCAGTAGTCAAATCCCCCTCTTTTATATCGTGATATCCAAGTTTTGAAGAGTTTTTCCCTTTATTTTTTGTCTACATTAGACGTGTTCAAGTTTGATCCCGACTACACCGAAACTGAAGAAAAATATCAAAGCATTAAGAATGAGATCCTTGGAGTAGATTCTGACTCGGGTTCCAGTGGGTCGGAAAGTGGTAGTGATGAAGAGAGTTCTGAGGAAGAGCCTGACACTGGAATAGGTTTGTCTCTGGCCCATTTTAACTCCACAGGTTCTGGTATGCGTTTGCTCACAGGCGCCCTTTTTTTGACAGTCGATGGAAAAGTCACTATACACGATCATTCGGAGACCAATCTGATCAACTTCCGTCGAAACGTTTATCTAACCATCATGTCTTCACTAGATTTCGAAGAAGCTGCGCATAAGTTACTCAAGCGGAACATCGAAGAAGGACTTGAACTAGAACTAGCCAATATGGTTGTTGAGTGTTGTTCACAAGAACGATCGTATGCGAAATTCTACGGCTTATTAGGAGAAAGGTTTTGTAAGCTTAATCAAACATGGACGATGACATTCGACCAATGTTTCCGAAACTATTACGATACGATCCATCGTTTCGAGACCAATCGATTACGGAATATCGCGAGATTCTTCGGCCATCTGTTAGCTCAAGATGCTATCCCATGGTCGGTGTTTGAGGTGATCAGAATGAACGAAGATGATACGACGAGTAGTTCTCGTATTTTCGTCAAGATCATGTTTCAGGAGATCAGCGAGGTCTTGGGTCTTAAACGCTTAGCCGAACGCTTCAAGGATCCCTCAATGCAAGTCTGGTATGGGGGCTTATTCCCTATCGATAATCCCAAGAACACTAGGTTCTCAATCAACTATTGTTCGTTCTCTCCTTTCTATCTTCTTGGCTCCTTGTTTTCATGCTGATCGTTTTCTCGTTGTCTTAGTTACCAGTATCGGTCTTGGAGTCTTGACTGAGGAAATGCGTGAACATCTCAAACGAGCCCCACAGTGAGTCTTAGTCAATTTGAATTCCAAGAAATTCACCTTACTGATTGATTTTCACATCACATTTTTTTTGGCTTTGTTCAATAGATTAATCATGGCTAAGCGACGGGAATTAGATGAAGCAGAAGCATCATCAGATGATGATGATTCGAGCTCGGACATTTCGTCGATTTCATCGACTGATTCTAGTGATTCGGATTCGGATTCCAGTAGCTCTGATCGATCGAGCGTATCTCGAGATCGAAGAGGCGCTAGGAATGGACGTCGCCCTCGTCGGGATTCTCCTTCTCCGGTTTACCGTCGTGGCGCGTCTGGTAGGCATAGGGACTCCCGATCTCCTGTCAGACGTCTCGACTCTCGATCACCCGTTAGACGCCGCGAATCCAGGTCCCCTGTCCGAGGCCGCGACTCTCGTTCACCGGTTCGACGCCGGGACTCTCGATCGCCTGTAAGACGCCGGGAGTCCCGGGACTCCCGCTCGCCTGTGAGGCGCCGTAGGTCCCCTTCTCCAGTCAGACGACGCGGTTCACCATCTCCAGTCAGACGACGCGGTTCACCATCTCCTGTCAGACGACGCGGTTCACCTTCCCCTGTCAGACGCCGAGGTTCACCGTCTCAAGTCAGACATCGAGACTCCCCCTCCCCAGTCAGACGTCGAGGTTCCCCTTCTCCAGTCAGACGGCGCCGTTCTCCTTCACCTGCTAGACGTCGAGGCTCTCCTCCTCCCAGACGCCGAGGCTCACCTTCTCCTGTCAGGCGCCGAGGTTCACCGTCTCCAGTTAGACACCGCGACTCTCCCTCTCCTGTTAGACGCCGAGACTCTCCTTCTCCTGACAGACGCCGCGACTCTCCTTCTCCGGTGAGACGCAGGGGTTCACCCTCTCCCGTTAGACGCCGTGGCTCTCCGTCTCCTGTCAGACGCCGTGGCTCCCCTTCTCCGCTTAGACGCCGGCGCTCACCCTCTCCTGTCAGACGCCGGGGCTCTCCTTCTCCCGTTAGACGCCGCGACTCCCCCTCTCCTGTTAGACGCCGCGACTCCCCCTCTCCTGTTAGACGCCGCGACTCTCCCTCTCCTGTTAGACGCCGAGACTCTCCTTCCCCTTCCCCTGTCAGGCGTCGTGGTTCACCGTCTCCTGTCAGACGTCGTGGTTCACCCTCTCCAGTTAGACGCCGCCGAAAATAAATGTTCCCTCCCTCTTCAGTTTTTACAAGAAATGAAAGATTGTTATTGTTTTTTAATCCTGCACTCATGTCACCTTTCCTTTATTGAATTGAAAAAAAACCCCTTTCTTTCCACAAATATTTGGCAAGAGTTCAGATACAACAGTTATATATATATATGTGTGTGTAGGTAGATAAAAAGAATAAAATTGGGCAAAAAAGCAATGGAGGATAACAAATTGACTGATCTTCATGAGTTCCTGTGTCACAGTAGATTTGGTACTTCTTGTCTTCCACTTTCACTATCATTTTTCCTTTTCCGGATTATGCCCCCCCCCCTTATAATGTATGAGTGATTACAAGAAATCAAACTGTCTGCATCTCTTTTGCTAACAACTGGTAATACACACTTTTTGTTCTGAAGTTGGAGGGATCTCAGGATTCAAGGTTATATACAGTGCCCCTCACCACCTCTCCACCACCCCCTCCAAGGTGTTCCAAAGTTTTGGGTTTGAAAATTAGAAAAAATTTCAAAATCCGGGGGGTTTCTCGGGGGTCTTGGAGGCTTCTGTACAAAAAAGACATGAAAAAGTCTCTTGCACTCCAATTTTGAAACCAGAATCAGTATATTCAATGGTTATTGGCAAAGATTCTTGCTCCCAGAAGCTCCAGAGAAAGAGGGAAGCACTTTTACCAGTTAAATTGACAAAGAAGATTCAATTGATCAATCCATATTGGAGGAGGATGGGGGAACTGCATGTACTTGGGTATGTGTTTACAATTCACATACTCTTTAAATGCATATTGTGCCCCCTATATACATATTATGGCTCCCTATATACATATTATGGCTTCCTAAAGCCATACCATGTGGTCCAGGGTGGGCTTGGACATGGTGTTCCAAAGTTTGATGCTCAAAAATTGAAAACTTTTTTTTGAGGTACAGTAGCAAGTTGTGGGTGACAAATTCAATTTTCCCTACTCCCATAGGCCTCAGAAATGTGTAGTACATGCCCATTGAGGCACATGGGTCGGTGTACTCAGACTTCAAAGTTGAACTTTTTTTTTGCAGGCGCGGGGTGGTGGAGAGGTGGTGAGGGGCACTGTATATATAGGGCGTTAATAAAAAAACGTGGTAAATCTGCGTTTACACACGGTTTTGCTGCGGCACAGCACACGCGGATTCCGTGTGTACACACGGTTTTGTATGTATTTAAATTTTTATGGGTTATTTTTCGAGTTTTTTTGAATTTTTAAAGTTGTTTCCTACACTTTAAAAGGTGTAGAATTTAATGGTAAAAACCATTTTTCATAGAAATGAATTTTAATTATTAATTATTTTTTTCACTCATTTCTCAATTAATTATTTGCATACATGTTTGTACCTTATTTTTTATGTTTTTTTGAAATTTTAAATTTATTTCCTAGGTTTCAATGTGCGTAGAATTAAATGGTGTAATCCAATTTATTTAAAACTCAGCGGTTCATTTTTAATACTGAAATTAGACACATTTTTTCACTTAAATTTCTACAGGTTAATTTTCATTCTGTTTTGACATTTCAAATTTTCTTCCGTACAATTTTATACATTTAAAAAATTATGGTAGTCCTGAAAGCACAACAAAGCTGCAACAGTGTTGACTTGAGCCTAACTAATTCTTGGTTGGAACTGGGGTCAAGTTCATTTATTTGTTTGACAATATTGTTACGCCCCTTTACTTTGACCGCTAGACCCTTGGCTCTTGTCTGGTGGTGGGTCAGTATGACATCATTCAACCTCACCACCCAAGCCAAAGAAACTTGCTTTTTTTTTCAGCTTCATCCACAAACACAACCAACACAAAACAAAATTGTGTTTTTCAGTAGTTTTCTTTTAGCTCGATCGTAAACACACACATGTCATTGTAACCAAAAGATAAAAGCAGTACATTATTTTTATTTTAAAAATGGTAAACTTAAAAGCAACTAGGGAACCCGCGGCTCCGCCGCGCTCAGGCCTCCATCCAGCCTAATCACCTTGAACAGTATTAAGCAACTTGAAACTCTCTTTTTGACCCCGGGCCTGACAACTATTCACCGGTCTATGACTCCAAGACTATTGTCCCACCTTTGCATCACAATTATCTTGCCAATTCAGGTACAATCCTTTTGCTCAATCACCGGCTCAGGTTCACTGAACGTGAATCAATAATTTTATGTTGAACCTATCTCAGTCATTGGCCTATAGGCTATCTTAAGTATTATTCCGGTGTTGTTCACACCAGACGTGACCCCTGAGCTAGCTACTGATTCCGGATTAGGTATTGCACCGGTACTTCACTCTGAATCCGGGTTCCTGTCCCTGTCACAGTATCCTTACCATTTATCCTGATTAATTGCATGGAGCAAGACAATCAAGAGAAAGCAAAAAACAGGAAAACAGACAAAGGCCTCAAAAAAATTAGATTTGATTGAATTGGGGGGTTTCAAAAATAAAAGAGAATAGTAGTGGAATCAAGCTGATAGAAAATGTTATCAATGTGAATTGACCAACAAACAAGAAGGTTCATCCCCTTGATTGACAGGCCGAGTAGCAGACATCACAGGAACAGGAATTAATACTTGTAATCATGATTGATTGGTTGTATTACTATGAAGGAAGAGCTGCTGCACAGGTATATCGGTTTTGGTCAAGGCTGTGTTGAGATAAACTTGGCAAGAATATATGTATGGCCAAAGAACTCCAGGCAGAGACCGAGAGAGAGAGAGTGAGAGAGAGAGAGAGAGAGAGATCAAAGAGGGGAACAAACGGATAAGCTTTGAAGAAAAATGTTAATTATGGTAAATTGGAGATGACTGGTCCCTTCAAGGGGACAGCTAGTCAGGGTGGACTCCCTTTTACGGGGACCCAAGCGGCAAAACCCACACAAGGATTAAATCCAGCTGAACGGAAATTTCAACCTCAAAATACCCTCCCAACACAACCGACCCTGTGACCTTAGCCAGTAACCCGGACCGGGAAAGATGCCTTAACCCAATTCCAAATTTAGGTTCTGGCTACCAATTTGTAAAGTCGTTCCCTCAAGCACCCGACTGTTTCATTGGAGGGAATTGGGGCCGAGTATGGAAATGATTAAGCGAGTGTGGTTTTGACTAAGTTGGTGTGAGAACAGATGCAAATAGTGTGATGACAAATGCGTAATCGGAACATTTGAAGGCACATGAGCAATTACTTGGATGGCAATGGATCTTGGGTCCAAGCCGGGGTGGGATTTAGAATTACTGAAGCCTGCGGTGGAACCCGGATGCTGATAGGGATTGTGACAGGCTAGGATTAGGCGTATGGAACACTGGGCGGGCAGAGTGTGAGCTAAGGGGTATATAAGGAGGGTGATTGAAACATCGATAGGTCGGGAAAGTTGAAGAACCAGTCCACGACTACGTCTAGGGTATTGAATCTTTACCTTTTGTCCCTATTCTTAGTCGTGGAGCTTGGGGAACTGCTGCCCACGAAAACAAGGGGTCGGCACATTTCTCTTTGTTTAATTCTTAATTTGAAAACAAACAAAAAATGGAAAACCTTTCAAAACAACAACAAATGTAAACCATTGGTATGATGAGAATGAGCTTGAGGCCCGGCCACTCAATATAAACACAAAGCTTTGAAATTATTTTCAAAATAAAAACCTTTTGAAAGTGCATTGATAAACGCACACCCTCCCCCCTCCCGCACGCCCACACCCCCACCCCTCCAAAAGCGGTGTGCAATCCCACCTGCCCGTCTCTGAGGGGCGGGTTTAATTGCACACCCCTCGGAAGCCTGATCAAACCCGCCCCTCAGAGAAGGGCGGGTGGGATTGCACGCCAACCACCCAAGAGGTCATGGCAGGCTGATGTAAGCAAAACACTCTGAACTGTTTTGCTTACGTCAGCACAGCAATGACTCTTTCCTCCCAGCCATCAAGACTGTACAAGTCTTGATGGCCGGCAGGAATCCCTCTGCGGGGGCTGAGTGATGGAAGGGTGTCGCTGTGGTGCCATAATTATTTGCCGCCGGGTAGCCCGTATGTGGCGGGCCTGAGTAGACCATTGGTTGATGACTTGAATAGTCCATCAACTGCTCCCTGGGGTAGTTGGCAAACATAGCACCAGGATGATCACGGCCAGCTGGGATCTGTCGCGGATGAGCCGAAGAGGGGTCTATTTGCCCAGAGCCGTGGGGCACTTGAGTGCCGGATTGGACTTGCGTGACGGAGAAGTCCTGACCTCTGGAGCCATCTGTGCTGTGCGGGTTGTGCCCAGAGTAGGCAGCGTGGTGGATGCCTGAGGCCAAGTGGGGCGGTTGGCTAGCTCCGAATGGATCAGTGGGGGAGGTCC